CTGGCGCCTTAGCCACTTGAGCCACAGGCGCTGAGCCCATACTTTGAGTCTTAAAGGTTGAAAGCCACTGGCCTGGTGGGTTTTCCTGGCTGCGGGCATGGTGGCTCTCACCTATAATCCTAGTATTCTGGGAGGCCTGAGCAGGTGGATTGCCTGAGCTCACAGGTTTGAGACCAGCCTGAGCCAGAGCAAGATCTCTAAAAATAGCGGGGCATTGTGGTGGGCGCTTTACAGTCCCAGCTACTTGGGAGGCTGAGATAAGAGAATTGCTTGAGCCCAAGAATTTGAGGTTGCTGTAAGCTGTGGTGTCACAACATTCTACCCAGGGCAACAAAGTGAGAAACTCTGTCTCAAAAAAACAAAACAAAACAAAAAAACTCTCTTGTCTCAGGCTAGAGTGTCACAGTGTCAGCCTAGCTCACGGCAAAATTGAACTTCTGGGTTCAAGTGACCTCCTCTTTAGCCTTCCAAGAAGGTACCTGTCTGACTCCCAGCTAATTTTTCTGTTTTTAGTAAGGACAGGGTCTTGATCTTGCTTTTGCTCGGGCTATTCTCAAACTCCTGAGCTCAAGGGATTTTCCTGCCTCAGCCTCCCAGAGTGCTAGGCTTACAGGCAGGAGTCACCACACCCCTCCAGGTTCAACTTTAGGGGAGATGGCATCCTCATTAAGCATGGAAGGCTTTTTTTTGTAGGATGGAGCTGGTGGTCATTCAGGCGCTCATACCATTATGAACATCTTTCCCTTTTTTCCCCTAGACCTCATTGTTTCCCAAAGTGTGTTCTATGAAAAATTAAATACAACCCTACTCCAGGAGGAAAAAAATTGTTTTTTCAAATATGTTTTCAAAAAGCTACTTCTTGGCTGGGTGCGGTGGTTCACGCCTGTAATCCTGGTACTCTGGGAGGCCAAGGCAGGTGGATTGCTTGAGCTCAGGAGTTCAAGACCAGCCTGAGCAAAAAGTGAGACCCTGTCACTACTAAAAATAGAAAAAGTGAGGCAAGAGGATCGCTTGTGCCCAAGAGTTGGAGGTTGCTGTGAGCTATGAAGCCACAGCACTCTACCCAAGGTGAGAGCTTGAGACTCTGTCTCAAAAACAAAAAAACAAAACCCAGCAATGTCACTTCTAGGAACCTATCTCACAAAAATGTTTGCAAAGTACACAGAGATAGACACGAAAAAGGGTCTTTGTCCACATTATTTTTATTTCATTTTTATATTTATTTATTTTTAGATAAAAAGCTATCTGTTCATAAATGTTCTTGATTTTTTTCTGTATGGGGACATGGCTGAAGAAGGCTGACCTGGAGACATGATTCACTAGACAGGACAAGAGAACAACTAAGTTCTCGTTACACATTTCCCACAGGTTAGCAGCAGCCATTCGATCATGTTGACCTTTAGGTGCCGGCTTTACCTATAAATTGAATCTTGGGAATAATATATTAGATGGGATATGCTTATGTTTGATCTCTAGAAAGTGCTGTAATGTGTTAATTGGATGGAATACAAGCACTTTGGGCATTCTAACCTTTAGGAAATAAATAAGCATTTTCTTTTTTAGGTTTCAGAGAAGATGTGCATTGAAATTGTTTCCCTGGCCTTCTACCCAGAGGCTGAAGTGATGTCTGATGAGAATATAAAACAGGTGTATGTGGAGTACAGATTCTATGATGTACCCTTGTCAGAGACAGAGACTCCAGTATCCCTGAGGAAACCAAGGCCAGGAGAAGAGATCCACTTCCATTTTAGCAAAGGTGAGGCTGCCTATGTGGTCAGTGGGGAGAGGAGAGTTACAAGCATTTGTACTGAGGGTTCTGACTACACTGGATTTTTGTTGACAAGGTGGAGCCAACCATCTTTTTTATTTAATTTTTTTTTTTTTTTGAGACAAAGTCTCGCTTTGATGTTCTTGGTAGAGTACCATGGTATCACAGCTCACAGCAACCTCAAACTCTTGGGCCAAAGTGATTCTCTTGCCTCAGCCTCCCAAGTAGCTGGACTACAGCTGCCCAGCTGTTTTTAGAGACCTTGGCCTTCCAGAGAGCTCAGATTACAGCCGTGATCCACAGTGCCCAGCCCAACCATTTTTATTTATTTATTTATTTATTTTTATTTTTATTTTTTTTTGAGACAGAATCTCACTCACTATGCCACCCTCTATAGAATGCTATGGTGTCGCAGCTCACAGCAACCTCAAACTCTTGGGTTTAAACGATTCTCTTGCCTTAGCCTCCCAAGTAGCT